ACACACACACACACACACACACACACACACACACACACACACACACACACTGCATGTATGTCAGGTACTAGCCTGCAGAAAGGTGCCGCCTCGATGAAGGAGCAGACGTCCCGAAGACGAAGCTGGAGTTATGGTGTCACAGGTAAGTCCTACTGGCCTCTACCCATCTCTCACTCTCTCTCTCTCTCTCTAACGCATAAGTCCTCCTGGCCTTTGCCCATCTCTCTCTCTCTCTCTCTCTCTCTCTCTCTCTCTCTCTCTCTCTCTCTCTCTCTCTCTCTCTCTTTATGCAGTGCACCGACAACGCTCCAACTCCCAGCTCGCGCCAAGCGTTATAGACTACTCTAACTGAGCCTAGCACATCGGCTGAAGACTCGTCACTATTGTCCCAAAGCTACCTCTGAGGACTACTCTGAACTACCTACCCAGAATGAGGTCGACCCAACTATATATAGCACTGGTCCTAGTATCCTGGGTGAAAAGAAAACTGGTATGGGGCAATAACAGGAATCCGTTTTGGCGCCAAAAGTAGGAACCTGGTAATAATACGAAAACGTCTAGTGCCGAAAGTTGCCAAAACAAAAATACGAAAATCGTATGGCGAAACGATCTGGCGCCCAAAAGCAGGATTCTGGCAACAAATGCCAAAAGTAGGAACTTGGCGAAAAGTTGCCAAAATGAATCAGTAGCCTACTGGGTCCTACGGGGCCTAACACGACCTAAATGACATGGGCCCTGAACCCTACCAAAACCCCTAACACTATTGTCGGGCCCTGCGGGGCCGTGTGGAACTGAATATGACAAAGTACGGACCCGATAGCATGCACAAACCCCTTGTGTCCAAAGAGGGAGAGAACACGATATGAGCAAGGGCAATCACAATTGCAACTCTTACCACTATCATCAAGAGCTATGTCGGAACCTGCTTCGCCTAGGCATGTGCTCTAGGTCCCGTAGTGGGCTTGCGCTCTCCTGCTCATCCGTATCTGGTCAACGTTTCATCTCGATACACACGAAAACCGAAAAAAACTCACACTGCCCATAACCAGATCGATAGCGCCCTCTCTCTTTCATCAACTCTGCTTCTCTTCTTTTCCTCGTCGACTATGTTCCGAACCTCTGCTCTTTCTCTCCCTCACCCTCACTCTTGGTGTATTTCCTCGCACTTCGCTCTCACGGTCAAAACAACACCCACGTTCACCTCGCCCTGGGCGCACGTGGTTGGCAACAGTCGTGACGACAATAGATAGAGTTGTGGTGCAGGTAGGTACTCAACCGTAGCAAGGTCACTCCCTCGATCATGGGCACGACGGCGTACGAAGTAAGCATCGTGGACTCCTCACCTTGACTCATCAATCTCCCACTATAACACAGGACGACACACTACCGGAGCCCAGCCGTTCCTATCCGTTCGTCGCATGCAGTAAACTCTGCACCCAGTTTGCTCAAACGTGACCCCTCTCTTCTCCTCCTCTTCTTTTGGCCAATCTGCTTCATCTACCTTGCCTTCTTTTTCCCGCCTTATTCCGATTTTTTCATCCTCTGCTCTTCTCCCGCCTACCCGTCTCCTCGCTCGCAACTACGTCCCTCTGTTGACCGGTATCTGGTCGCGAATAGTGCCAGATCCAGACGGGCAAAAGGGGCGGTTAAAAGGTTCCCCTTTTCGCCTAACTCCTGCGCCACTTCTTATCGGTTCTCTCTCAACTTTCATTCGATATGTATTGACCTCGCGGAGGGAGATATGTATTTACCTCGCGATCTCTCCCTCCGATTCTCTTCACTCCCCTCACTTCCTCGACCACCTTTTCCTATTTCATACCTTCCACCCTTCCACCTTATAGTACCTTCCTTCCTCACGGTCCCGCCCTATTACCCGTGATGCACGTTGTGATAATTACTGATAGGTCCCGATGAAATGTATGTGTCCGATTGCGAGAAAAGAGGAACACGACCGTGAGTCTTCGAATTGGGTCAAGAATGCGACTTTGGAGAAGACGACTAGGCTTGCAAAGCGAACAAATACGGTTGTTATCACGAAGCAGGCCAATCCCGGTCATGAAGCGGGGCAGATACACCCACTAGGGTATTCTAATTGCGGGTCTCGCTCCACTGTTCACCAAATTATGCAAAATGAGAATGACTCTTCCCCTAAAACATAGAAATATATTATTACCCCGTCTCTTTTATATGAATCTTCCCCTAAAACATCGTTACATGTTATTATTATTATTATTATTATTACCCCGTTTTTTTTTTCTTTTTTTTTCGTAAAAAAAGTCCAAGGTGTTGTCGAGGCCAGTTACTAGCCACACATTGATCACCGGAAGCAGTCATTCGTGGTCGCCCTGACGAGACGACGCCAACTCCCATCCCATCCTCGCGTCAATACTCCTAGCGCATCCCTTATCAATACTATCCTACCTCAGTGTGACCAACACTCTGGACCATCACCCTACCAGTATCGAGGGGAACTTGGACTGAACAGTAGTCACAGGCACCAGAGCTAGCAACCCAGCCTTGGTGGAAGCCTAGTCCAACTAGCCTCGTCGTATGAGAACTTCGGATACCAGACTCAAGTAATCACCTATTAGCCCCTAAGGGTGACCAACCAATAACTCACGCCCTCTACTCTCCCGCCACAGACCTAGCTGACAATAGTTGTATATTTATTGCGGAGTACTTATCATTGGAGCGTACCAAGCCAACCAGTGACTCACGCCCTCTACCCTCCCACCACATACCCTAGCTGTATTTTTAAGGCGGGGTACTTATCATTGAGATGCCTATCATCATCATCAGTTGATTGTGACCTTCACCCAGCCCTATGGTTGTGTGTGTGTGTGTGTGCCCCTAAGTTGACCAACCAGTAACTCACGATGTCGAGCGCATCGGCTCCTACCTTTTTCGCAAAGGCGAAAGCCCTCCCGCCATGTCATGCAAGAGATAAACAAAACAAAATGAGAGACAACTCGGGAAGGACGCCTAACTAATCCCGTGAACCGCTGAGACGACCGTGGTCGCATCGTCCTTTCGCCGCTATGGTCGGGTGCGCCAACTGTACATCCCATGGTCCCGTATGACAGGATAGGTTCCCGCAGGGCATAAGCTTTCCCTCCCTAAGAGGCTGTCACCACCCTTAGGGGCGTATCCCTACCGAACTACTGACCCACGTGCAAAATCTTTTAAACGCAATTGCAGAGGTAGGTCAACCGATGACGTTTGTTCATTCGATGTAGTATAGATACACTTGGTTAACGCCAAGCGGACCCGAGCGTCGTCCGTTCTGAGGCGCTAATCTCCACGTACGGAGTAAACGTCGGTCGACTAGGACGGTCTCAACCAAGTATGAAACCCATCATTAATCCTAGTCCCTTGGACACACAATCAAGCGAAAGTTTCAACAATCACACATATAGTTATATTAAAAGGAATCGACCGTAGCCGATACGAATATATATCAAACCCAGAGTAATAACTAGGAGAACGATAGGAACATATGCAATCTGAAATTATAACTGAAAGAATTCAATCATCATACGATACATCCAATCACATAGGATAAAAAAAAAACGATCCGACTATCTCAAGTCGAATTCCACAAAACAATCATACAACCGCCAACGAGGAGTTGACTACCGACAATAATATAGATGCAAACGACAAGGTAGTCGGCTGCCTTTATATTAAGGCCTAGTTGCACTACTCGTCATCCGTCACATTTCGTGGCGGATGCGTGGAGAGTTAAAAAACTGAGAATCGCTTCGAACTCGAGGCCTGGTTGCACTTACTCGCCACTATATTTCTTCTACAAAAAAGTTAAAAAAAATTGTCTACCTGATGTCGACTCATGAAGCCTTGCACTCTCCAAAAAACTGTTTTGTGGAGAGGTCCGAGGACCACTCTCCACAAACCACTGTGCACAGGCGGGGAAAACGAATTCACTCTCCACAACTTGTGTCGACGGTGATACATTTTGCATTCGTCAAGTTTGGCGAGTAAGTGCAACCAGGCGCCTACTCTCCAAACTTAGCGTATGGCGAGTAGTGCAACTAGGCCCTTATTGTCGGTAGCCAACTCCTCGTTGGTTATGGAATTCGACCTGAGATAAACAGCAATTCGTATGCAAGTTTAATAAAAAAATAAAATAATAATGAGCTGAAGAAGTCCTCCCGGTGTGGGAACGCATATTGGGCACACCCCTCTGAGTATTGCGACGGCGCATTACCGGAATACACCTAATTTTGGGCTCCAATTTTTCGGACTGACTGTGGCGGTAGGCCCTGAGCAATGCCCTGACTGGAAGAGGGCCAAAGCGGTGTGCCTGCGGGCATGTCCGGACAATCTTGGGAAACCTAATCTTCAACCTCGTGTGAACCAGCCGACTGGGTGGACCAGCTGATGGTTTACTTATCGTGGATTTCCTGCACCTGGTTCTCGCCTAGGCTCAGGAGGTGGGAGAGTGAATACTCCTTCCGGAGTCTCCGAAGCTGGTCTCGCTGGCCCCGGCTGGGCTTCCAGATGCGTGCGTGAAACTGGGCCTGCTTGGATTTGTCGAGTCCTGTTCAAGGCAGGGGAGTTGCGTGCAGTGCAACGTGGCAGGCTGCTGTTCCCAATCATCGGACACGTGGCAGGGGAAGACGCGCACCAGCGCCGATCTGCTCTCGGGTTTAGCCGCGCCGGGAGGGGAGCGAGGTGGCGCGGGGAAGAGCGGCATCCGACGCAGACCATGGCGCCGGCGGAGGCAAGCGCGCCGGTGCTCACCACGTCAGCTGTGCTGATGTCTGCATCGAAGCATATCTCGGCGCGATGCGGGCGGGAAAATCGAGCATTTCTGGCGTGCAAGAAAGCAGACGAGAACCCCGAGAAGTGTCTGAAGCAGGGGGAGGAGGTGACGAGATGCGTTCTTTCTCTGTGAGTTCCCCTCCCCCCCTTCCCCCCTCCCCCCCTCCCCCTTCCCCTCCTCCGCCCGCAGCCATTCAGTAACTAGGTAGGGCTCGCCGCACTGCGCAAGGAACATGAAAAATGCATCTTCACACGGAACGTGTCAAGATGTGTGGACGGCAACGAACAGTGGTTGATGCATCTTTCCCGTGCATCTTCTCTCCCAAGCTCAACCGGGCATTTCCCACGGTTCGTCAGTAATGCGGAAAGGCCCATTCTCTGTCCTCACCTAGCTTCAGAGGCGTTAATTAATTACTGTAATTAATTACATGCACGCTCGAAGAGCCTTTTTGGACATTGATTGGATTTAGAGAACCCTTGGGTGCTAGAAACAGGGTATTGCAGACACGCCCGTGTGCACCCTTCCCCGCCCCTCCCCCCCCATCTTCCCCCCGTCGGCGCCCGGCAGGGTTCGACAGACACAATCGGATTACCCATAGCAGGCAGCGAAGAGGAGTCGTCGCTCGGCTTTTCTCTGAGAGAAGACAAAAGCACATCCAAGTTCCCTTTCCCGCCCTTTTTTGGGGCATCCTTGATCACTCATAACCAATATCTCTCTCTCTCTCTCTTCGTCGGATGACACGTGTCAACCTCCCCTCTTCATCATGTTCGGCAGAGACCTGGGAACCATTTATAGATCGCCTCAGGCCCTGGCCATCTCCACGGTCGATCGCGCCGGCCACCGGAATGGGTGCAAGTCAATCAGAACCGAATGCTAATTACAGTAATTACGTAACTAAAAAAGAAGGAAAAAAAGTAATGAATTCCTGTAATTGTAAGCAGAGATCACATTGGTAAGTGGCGGTCTGATATACCGGGCCATGCTTTTCTTTTCACATGTCTTTTCCTCCTTCGTTCTGTCCTCCCTCTCTTCGACTTTCTCTCCTACATTTTTGCTTCCTTGCTTCCTTCCTTTCCTTCCTTCCTTTCCTTAACTTCCTTTCCTTCCTTTCCTTAAACTTCCGTGCTTCCTTCTGACGAACCTTCGCAAGAGAATGGTCGGGAAGAAATGATTGATCAATGTGTTTGCGGTGCTGCTTTGCGCCAATGCTGCTTTGCACAAGTGCCGCTTGTGCCAAGTGCTCCTGAGTGGCCGAGCAGCGAGAGGTTGCGTCGGGGGCAGGTTGGGCGCCGATGCCATGGCGTAGTCCTCGACTTCGTGCATGCTACTCTCCTTGCGTCGCGCGCGAGCGCTCTTGTGTGTGTCTGTTTTGGGGATGTGGACGACCATCTTCTAGCGCAAGAGAATGGTCGGTCGGTCGGTCGGTTGGTCAGTTGGTCGGTAAGTGGTTTATCGATTATCGGTAATGTCAAATCGGTCGTGTTTTTTTGTCTCTTGACCGAACCCGGGGAATTGCCGAGGCAAGGATATTATCCAAATCTTCAGGAACGCTTGACATCAGAGCGCAGCTTAAGAATGAAGAACGGTAAATGGCGCTCTTCAGCTGCGTTATTCTCCTCCCTCTCGTCCGGCTTGCCTCTTCTCTCCTTCCCTCTTCCCTCTTCCCTCTTCCTTCTTCCCTCTTCCCCTCTTCCCCTTCTTCCTTCTTCCTTCTTCCTTCTTCCTTCTTCCCTCTTCCCTCTTCCTTTTTCCCTCTCCCTCCTTCCCCCCTCCCTCCTTCCCCCCTCCCTCTTAGTTCTAGGTATGGAAAGAAGTTTACTGCCGCTGATTTCCAAAGTGACGACGATATTGTGGAAATCGTTAATGGCGCGCAGTAAGAATGATGGCGTTTTTTTTTTTTTTTTTTGAAAAAAGAAAAAGAAAAGAATGATGGCGCAAGAACAATAGCGAAATGGTGAAAACAGGGAGCAACTGCCTTTCGTACGCGCTTCAAAAGCTCTTCATTCCATAGCCGCGCTTACTACCGGTAGCAGTCTCTGCTTACGCCCTCGTTCCCCGATGATCGTTTCCATCGGCTGTGCGCCGATCGTCCTCAGGGGGCTTCCAACACCCCCATGCCTTGCGGCCCACGGGATGTTCTCCCGTCGGACTAAATACAGTGAGAAGAAGAAGGAGAAGTAGAGGACAAGAACAAGAATCGTGGGAAGTTGTGGCCATCGTCGCTCTCGTCTGCGGTTCACTTCAACGATTAATGAGCAAGAAGCACGGCATGTACGAGTGTTTCAGAACGCGCACATTCCGCAAAGGCAAAGACAAGAGCTTAACTTCTTAGAGTAAGAGCAGGATATGGCGGCCGCTTCCTTCTTTATCTCTGTTCGATCTCGTCCTTCTTCATCACCATCTCTCCTTTCTTCTCTCCCCTCTCTCTCTCTCCTCTCCGCACTTCCTTCGTTACCTCTTCTCTCTCTCTGTCTCCTCCTTCCCTGCAAATGAGAAGGGATAGAAGACCACCTGTCACAAGGTGTTGGATCCGGTAGCCCCGCCAGCATAGGAGGCCACCACGTGGGCATCTGCTCATCTCGAGGGGTTGACCTCAGAAGATGGGTGGGGTAAATAAGCGTTTACCGACGTCAATTATTATTGAATATTGTCAGTACTGTCTTACAGTATTACTTGTATTTGGCTATACGGGGAGACAGGAAAACTCAAAATAATGCGGTAACTTCCCGCCAACTGCATTCCCGCCAACTGAAAATAGTGCATTCCCGCCAAAGACAGACAGCAGCAGCCGGAAGTTTCCCCGCTTTCCTTCCCGCCGCCACACTCGAAAACAGAAAACGAAGAGGAGAGGGCAAGAAGCAGCAATCACCCTGCAGGATGAGCCGATACTCTTATCTCAGAGCGCGCGAGTGCTGCGTGAGGACTCCCTTAGGGTAGGCCTACCGTTGATGAACGCACTCCTCTCCAGTCAGCCAGGGAGTAGTTAAAAAAAAAAAAGCAGCAGCAGCAATCACGGATCCTGAATGAAACCTGACTTTGGAAGCTCGCTATGGCACAGATCCCCCGTCGGTTTGCGCCAATGCCGCTTGGTAGCTCTACTATATACATGATATATAAAATAAAAAATATAATATATATTTTTGCAGACAAGAGTTTTGTCCTGGGTGGTGTTGTCCTGTCGTTTGGCCTATGGAGGGGCGGTGCTTGCATGTGGAACTTGTCATCTAGGATCCGTTTTTGGTGCTATTGCTTGTTGCCCCCTGTTTTGTTGTATTTGGCTGTTCCCTTCCTCTTTCCTTTGCCTCTTTGCCCTTTGGCTGTGTGCAAGTGGTTCGGTATGACACACGGGGGGGGGGGGCAGCCGCCGCTCAACCTACATCCACGTGGGCGGCCTTGTGCGCAAGAGGTTCTGAACAGGGGGAGTTGTAAAAAAGAAGATAAAAAAACGATTTTTTTATTTTCTTTTTCGCCTTTGCGCTCTGATATTCATGTGACGATATGTGGCGATATGTGACGATATATATGCATATAATATAATATGATATAGTATATAATATAGTATATAATATAGTATATATAATACAATACAATATAATATAATATAATATAATATAATATAATATAATATAAATATAATATATATATGTATATCCACGTGGCCGGTCTTATACGTAAGAGGTGAGGAATCGGCGGATCTTTCCTTCCTTACTTCTTTCCTTTTTTTGTTTTGTCTTTTTTCGCCTTTGCGCTCCGATACACGGTGTGACGATATATATATCGTCACATAAATATCAGAGCGCAAAAGCGAAAAAAAGGAAAACAAAAAAGATATCAATTCATTTTTTCTCTTCTTCCTTACAACTCCCCCTGTTCAGAAAGAACCTCTTTTCCGTACAAGGCCGCCCACGTGGATGTAGGTTGAGCGGCGGCTGCCCCCACCCCCGTGTGTCATATCGACCCACTTGCACACAGCCAGAAGGCAAAGAGGCAAAGAAAAGAGGAAGGGAACAGCCAAATAAAACAGAACAGGGGGCAACAAAACAAATCCCAGATGACAAGTCCCCCATGCAAGCACCGCCCCTGCACCACAGGCCAAACGACAGGACAAGACCAACCAGGATATGAAAACATTCTTGTCTAAAAAAAATATAAAAAAGCTCCGGTTTACAGTGTAACAACCAAAAAGAAAGAGAAGACAATCCCGGATGACGATTCCCACATACAAGCACCGCCCCGCGCTCAAAAGGCCGAACGCCGGGAAACAACCAACCAGGATGCCCAATATACAGAATCGAAGCAGACAAGATTCTCATTCACAAAGCAAACATTCTACCATATCCATAGTAAAAAAAACGGAACCATTCAGTAGGCCCGCAAAACGCAACACCCCAACAATTGGGAAGATTAAAGAGAAAAATCTGGAGGGTGTTATTGCCTTTAACTTTAACGCTCAAAAAAATAACAGATTACAAAATATTCTCTTCCATAAGAAAATACAAAGCCTGCTAGTACAGGCCCGACGCTCGCCGCATCATCAGCAAAAGCAGAGAGCTAGCAACGTCGGATATATCAAATATACTATGAGTCGGTGAAACTCCGACGAAACAGTTTGTCACAGCCCCTCGTTTCTTGTCCTCTTCTCCCTCCCTCTCTGCCTAGTACGGTTTACCGGGCAGCTCTGTTTGACGATATACAAATATATATATGAAACTCCGACGAAACAGTTTGTCACAGCCCCTCGTTTGTTGTCCTCTTCTCTCTCTCTGCCTACGGTTTACCGGGCAGTTCTGTTGTGACTATATATATATATATATATATACGTAAGAGGTTATGAACAGGTGGAGCTTTCCTTACCTCTTCCCCTTCCCCTTTTTTCCTTTTCCTTTTTTCTTTCCCCTTTTTTGCGCTCTGATTCACAATGTGACAATATATATGTACGCAAGAGGTTCTGAACAGGGGGAGTTGTAAGGAAGAAGATTAAAAACAAATTTAAGATTTTTTTGTTTTTTTGGTTTTTTCGCTTAGGCGCTCTGATATCATGTGACAATATATTGTAACATTGTGAATCAGAGCGCAAAAAAGGGGAAAGAAAAAAGGAAAAGGAAAAAAGTGGAAGGGGAAGAGGTAA